TACAATTGATTGCTTCTGTTGTCCTCATTTGTAAGTCGCTTTGGATAAAAGCGTCTAATAAATGACTAAATAAATAAAATAAATAAATAAAAATATACATTAACATTAAATACTTTTTACGTTTTATAGTATTATAGTGATTTCTTTATTGATTACATTTTTATAATGTGACTAAATAATAATAATAATAATAAATTGCAATTAGATGTCTTTAACCAATTTGCTCTGCCTGTTTTCTAATTAATTAATGCACAAACAATTTTTATGGGCAGTAAGGTCACTGGTGATTGGCAGGTGTGACTGTTTAGTTTTAGCTCCTGCTCCCAATAATCTGGTTTTCATGACTCTTTTGAGTGTATTGTCCTGTAATGGCACACAGTGTGTTTCACTCACCCAGCTGCATGGCGGAGCGCGCCTGGTTGACCGTCTGCTGGCTGCACATGCGCAGGCAGTTCTTCAGATGCAGCTGCGGAGACGACGGGCTGCTGAGCGGCGTGCTGGAGCGGGACGCAGACGCAGACGCCAGCAGGACCGGACTGGAGGGACCCGCGGAGCCCGGAGATCCAGGAGCCGCTCCAGAGAGACACGAGCGCGTCTGACCGTACACACACACACACACAGTTATACACAGACACACACACACACACACACACACACATATACACACACACACAGACACAGAGTTATACACACACACACACACACTCGCAGTCAGCGACCGGAGCTCTACAGACTCACGTCAAATGCAGGATCACAGTGATTAGAAACACAGGAATCACGACCGAACGAGACATTCACATTATTTCAGCACAAAAACTGCAGGTTAAGCATCTAATGCTGCTCTTCTCAACATTTTCCACTTTATTTCTGCTGTAATGACAAATCTGCTCTTTTACAAACGCCGATATATTATAAAATACATTTAAATAAAATAATTACAAATAATTCGCATTAAATTCCATAATTCCTGAAGTTTTTTTATTATCAGTGAATTTAACTGACTTTTCTAGATATTTATTCATTCACAATTTATATCCATTATAAAAAACTTCTATAACTTTTTAAGATTTTATTAATTTACATGACATTCTTCAGGTCTAAAAATCTCATTTTAAAAATTCCTTTTATTTAAAGGGGTCATATGATGCTGCTAAAAAACACATTATTTTCCACATACTGTACATTATTGTTTCTCCGTCCTCTTTTGGAAGACCAAACAAAGTAGTTTCGCTTTCACAACGAAACACACGGCGGCCTAGCGTGAGCAGAGGCGCGGGCTTGAGAATGGCGCGGGCGGCGGATTCGACGAAGGAGCGGCAACCACATGTGACGACCCCGGGCTGGACTCCGCTTCGTCCACGGTGAAAGCCGATCCGGCGATCCACAGCACTAAGTTGATGTATTCCCTCAGCGACCAGCACGGATCAGCTCCAGGCATGACGAAGCAGATATCGTCCTCTTTTGGAAGACCAAACAAAGTAGTTTCGCTTTCACAACGAAGCACACAGCGTCTTCACGACATGGCGGCGGCAACAACAATACTACAGCGAGAATAAAAGTTACGCCTTCTTTCTTTGCGTGAACATTTGGGCGGCGTTATGCAAATCTTCCCACATAGTGATGTAGACATGTGGGGGCGTGTTAGAACGAGGCGTTTTAGGTAGGTGTGGCTGACTCTTAACTTTTATAAAGAATATCTCTTTGGGTTTGAGACTTTAGTCTTTGCAACTTTACAGATCTTCTTTATGCACCAAGAGCTTGTAACACTCCAAAGAGAAAGGAACAATTGAAATCGCATCATATGACCCCTTTAAGAAAAAAAAATACAGAGTTATAAATGTGAATGTGAAACATTTTCCGAACGGTCTATAAAACGTACATATGCATATAAAATAAAATAATAAAAAAATGTAATAAATGCATCCCATTTACTATAATAATAATGAATATTATTAAATATAAATATTAAAATAAAGACATTTTTACAAAAAATGTAAGAAATGGTGTAACATTTTATTTTAAAATAAAAATCAAGTATTAAAAACAACAGTAATACTAGCAGTTAACAGGCTGTTGAACGAGTTTATGAGGCTCAGATGATCAAGCTCATGTCATGAATGTCTGCAGGATTAAACACTGCTACAAGTCTTTGGAATTTGAGCAGTGCGCCCAACATGGCGTCTCTGACTGACATCTCTTGCTAGATCTGTTGTGATTAGGCATGGGCCGATTACCGGTTTCACGGTATACCGCGATTTGAAAATGTCACGGTTTCAAAACCGCTAATATTTCCGTTATACTGTTCCTGCGGTATGCGCCGTTTTTCATGTCTCCTCGAAGACTGAAAGTGTAGGAATAATTTTAATTACAGATTTAGGTTAAATAAAGATGTCAGTCTTTATTTTTCTTCTTTTTAGGAAACAAATCAAAGAAAAAATAAACAAATTCTACTGTTGCTAATATTCTGTATGCTGCTCAAAAACAAAATATATTGTGTTCAATGAAAAAAGTTTTTTTTTTTTTTTACCCAGTCATTTAAAAATAACACATTTTAGAGCTGTAATGACAATACCATGATACCGTGAAACCGTGACATTTTTGCTTAAGGTTATCATACCATCAAAATCTCATACCGGCCCATGCCTAGTTGGGAGTCTTTTCTTTATCATCATTATCAGATGTTTGCTGCGTTACCCATGAGCCTTTGCATCTGCTGTCTCAAAAACACCTGAAATAAAGGTGTAAATTTAGCGTTCCAGTTTTAGACGTGTGAATCTGAGCCGTCGCTCTGGAGGATCGAATCAAGCCGTGTCTGCAGGAACTTCACATGCGATGCAAACAAACACCTTTATATCATGCCTGAGACGAGGTGAATGCTCCCGAGTGTGTGTGTGTGTGTGTGAGAGTGAGTGTGTGAGAGTGTGTGTGTGTGTGAGAGTGTGAGTGTGTGTGTGTGAGAGTGAGTGTGTGAGAGTGTGTGTGTGTGTGAGAGTGTGAGTGTGTGTGTGTGAGAGTGAGTGTGTGAGAGTGTGTGTGTGTGTGAGAGTGTGAGTGTGTGTGTGTGAGAGTGAGTGTGTGAGAGTGTGTGTGTGTGTGAGAGTGTGAGTGTGTGTGTGTGAGAGTGAGTGTGTGAGAGTGTGTGTGTGTGTGAGAGTGTGAGTGTGTGTGTGTGAGAGTGAGTGTGTGAGAGTGTGTGTGTGTGTGAGAGTGTGAGTGTGTGTGTGTGAGAGTGAGTGTGTGAGAGTGTGTGTGTGTGTGTGAGAGAGAGTGTTTTCAGACAGGTGTTGTGTGTGTAAACACATGATTTTCCCTCAGGTGTCTCTGTACGGTGGGTTCTCATCCAGACGTGGTTTGTTTCTCTGACAGCGGCTCGTATCTGTGTGTGAATCGCAGTCACTACAGTCTGATTAATGCAGCACTAAACGCCATGGAGCTTTAAACGCCAGCAGACACAGTCGCTCATTCCTGCATCCCAATCCACAGGAAACAATGAAGAGTTTCACCATTCAGATTCCTGTGAAAACTCAAATATGCTTGATGAAGATTTATTTAAAAAAAACTATAGCCATTAACAGGCAGGTGATTGTCCCTGAAAGCTTCACTCTTCTGAAAGGACAGAAAATGGCTTAAATTAAAAAAAAAAAAAAAAAGACAAAACTAAGTAAAAAATACAGTAAAAACACAAAAATTGTATAATAATATAAACATTTCAAACAGCTGTTTTCTATGTAAATATCTGTTAAAATATAATTTATTTCTGTGATCAAAGCTGTATTTTCAGCATATTTACTCCAGTCTTCAGTGTCACATGATCTTCAGAAATCATTCTAATATGCTGATTTGCTGCTTAAGGTGTGTGTGTGTGTATATTATCAATAATAATTATTATTCAAGTAATAAATTAATTATTAAATAAATAATTAAATATAAAAAAAAATAAACAGTGTTTCATCATGTGACCGTGATCATTCAGTTTTTGCAAAACTCTCAAAACCTAAAGTCATGAAGCTCATAAACTGCAGCAGATCCAGCGTTTAATCTGAGACTTGTTTAACAGCCTGTTAACTGCGAAAACAAATAAAAACCAACTGCTGAGTCAATGCCAAAACCATCACCCGTATCTGATGTGTGCGCGACTACAGACAGACAAAGATCCTGCAGAAGCACTTTCCTTCTGTCATCTTAATGGTAGATTAATACTGAATGATTCCAAAATTACTCGCTGTCTGCTGACTAAGCATTTAAACCTGATCATTCAGACTAAACTCTGATTGAATGAGGTGCGTTTGAGGTCGTCACACATGTTCTACATAAATGCACCTCAAACACTGCATTTCATGAATGAACAGAGCCTCACTGACCCAGACAGAGCATGGCATCGCTCCAGACTCTGGCCTGCGGTTACACTCACAGCAGCAGCATGCTAATCAGGTTGTGGCTAGAAGGCAGGGGCAGACTGGGAGTAAAAAACAGCTAACCATGCTTTGGTTTCTGGACGACCTTGGAGTCGTTGGGCCTGAATTCCAGGCAGGCAGGGCTAACGGAAAGCGCCTGCAGGTCTCCTATTCGCTTTACCAATGCTAGTGCTAGAAGCAGAACAGTCTTTAGCGACAGTGACCGAAGGTTAGTAGACTGTAGTGGCTCGAAAGGAGGGCCCTTCAGGGCCCTCAGCACAGTGGGCAGATCCCATGTAGGCAGGGACGGACTGGGATTAAAAAACGGCCCTGGATTTTCTCCCAAATAGGCCCACCACAACTACAAACAGTCGCTACTATCTCACAATATTACAGTAATCCTATCGCATTTATGGCAAATAACATCACAAAACCCACGGTGACCCTGCTGACAAAAACAATAGAGACCATCACAGAAATTCGAATGATTTCCACTACAAATACCATTACAAACCATCAACTTTTAACCATTAAAACCATTAAATAATGATATTTATTTATAATAATAGTGTGTTTTGGGACATATTAATTAGGATTTAGTGGCTTTAACAAAAGCCATGATTGGAAGGTGACTAATTACCAGTAGAGACCAACAGGCGCCATTACAGTTTCCATTCAAACCAATACAATTTTCATTATAACCAGTAAAACCATTACAAATTATGTGATGGTTTCTATTTTTTTTCAGCAGGGGATTGAAATAAATGTATTATTGTATGAACTAAAATACTTTAAATCTACATAAAAAGAGCAGAACGCAAACTGTATAATATGACAATGATAAACAAACCTAGAATCTAGAAACCTGAAACAACAGAATTCTTCAATTTGAGTATTCATATGTCTGTCTCTCTCTCTCTCTCTCTCTGTGTGTGTGTGTGTCATGTTAATCAGACAAATCATATTATAGGCTACTTCATTTACACTACCCAGACAGCAGACAGTTTCGGCCCCGG